ACCTAGTAAGGCGCTATCAGAGCACTTTTCTCGTAAAAGGCGCTACGCAGTGTCGGCTCAGAGGCGCCGAAACATTAATCCTACGCTGAGGTTTATCATGCCACTTTCCTTTAATATGTTTAATGATCTTCACTTGCAAGTACCGAGCGACCGTTCGGAAAAGGTTTTCAGTCCACATTCACTACATTCTGGATGGTCTACGGACAACTTGAACTCAATCCCTTCAAACGCGTCGATCTTCTCTTTTTCTCTGCACTCTCTCGTCCGCATGGCACTCTATGGCCGTTGTGACTTCGCACGTTCCAGCTTTTCACCGATTATAAGTAGCTCACCCACCCCGGAGTCCCCTCCCCTTGAAAAAGCCCGTTTCCTGGCTCGCCATACGATTCTTCCACGTTTCGATGCTTTGGCAGCCGCTGCCCTCTATCCGTCTGCGTCACAGGGTTTCGTAACAGGACCATGCACAGAAGTTCAAGATGATTCTGGATGTGAGGAGGAGGGAGGGACATGGCTGTGTACTTCATTTGGTCATGGCATACTGTGCGTTAGCAGTATCCCTCCAAAAGCGCAGCTGCTGCGCATCCAAATGAAATATTCAGCCATGTTCTACCATTTCGAGGTTAGGCAGGATGAAATATGGGATGCAAGGAATTTCCGTGGCACGGGTGAGAAAGTTGACGAAAACGAATGAATTCATTCAAAAGAGCGATCTTGGTGGTAGTGAACCCTTCTCGCCATGGGCCAAGTGAAGAAGTCAGCTATCAAACTGTGCCACCTTTATTACTATTCGAGAAATTGCGGAAATACAGGGTGACCAAAAAGTTCTGGCAATTTCGTGTTTGTGCGTTTTTGAATGGCCATTATGGTCTGTTTTCTCTCCGATGGGTTATTTGTATTCCGCAAGCCATTTCGAACTACCGTACGAGTCATCTATCCAATCACTTTCGATTTCTCCTCGCACTGTCTCGAAAAAATCAAAAAGTTGCAGTTGTTGAAACCCATCTTCTGGTCGGTGCTTGTTGCTTGAAGAATGTGCTCGCCACCGACGAGAAAAATTTTCGATCACAACTACCGGAATTGTTGTCTGCTCCTCAGAAAAGGTCAACAGAAGGCAACGGCGACTGTGAAATCCGTCGGACGCAGACTCTTTCCAGCCTCAGTCACGGTCTGAGGCGGGATCTGTGCCACCGGGAAGACCTCTCATTTCTTCATCGAGCGCATCGTAAAGATTAATGCTGTCTACTCCCAACAAGCGTTTACGCAATAGCTACTTGAACCCATGGGTGTCGGTAGCATTCGGCCGGCATGACATCGTGCTTCAGCCAAAACTGGGAGCCAGCACATCTGCCAACCCCGTAACGTGCCGCTTGTGAAGAGCTGTTTCCCGATTTTGGGGCAAGGACGTTTGGCCTCCCAACTAGCATGGTTCGAACCCTATGGATTATTCCATCTAGGTCGAAAAATCTCAGGAATTCGATGCGCAACGGTTTACCACCTGAAAGTGGCGTTGCTGCGTGTTTAGGACCAAGCTCAGAGAGAAAATGCGCGGAACCATTGTACGAACACTTTTGGAAAACGACTACGCTAAATGTGTGAGGCTGAAGAGGGCATTTTTTTTTTGAAACTTGTTGGAAAAAAAAAAACCATTTGTTGTATACGGTCATTGTAATATGATTAGATGAAGATCCCATAACGTTTAGTTTGCCTGATTTCCTTCTTGAACTGGTCATTTTTTATGCAATTGAAAGTGAAAAATCCGAAAAATTGCCAGAACTTTGCTGTCAGATGTAGAAGGTTGTGCATTAGCTTGAGGTCATCTGGAATCTCACCTACTATCCACAATGTGTAGCATGTGCTGATGCCGAGATCTCGCAGCAACAACATGAACATCAAGCTGCCCGTGATCCTGCAAAGAAAAGCCAGGAGCGCGCAGTCAAAGTACCGCGTTTGGCTGTTATTAGACATACTCCTGGTCAAGCGGCACGTTGCGTCTGTCTGCTGGGTGAAGTCCAGAAGGGCATTGGCAACTCAGTGTTTTCGCTTTTTGCGCGCATCCTCGAGTAGCGAGAGTGACACACTTGTACATACAGATGCGGACCCGTTCACACTGAGCATGGTGAGGATTAGGGTCCTCGAAGGTGACCTTCAGCGTATCTTTAAAGGCAAGCGGCACGATAAATTTTCAAGACGTATAAGATTGATGCATTTAGTAGGACGAAATTCGGCGTCTCCGAGCAGCGCTGTGCGGCGCCTTTTTCTAAGGAGGGTACCCTTATAGCGTCCTCTCAAAGCTGCCGAAAACACCTTGCGCGCCACAAAATGGAACGACCCTGCCTGATATCGTATCGCTTCTTTCGCAAGAGTGCTATGAAGGAGTTGTTATGGAAGCTACTGTGGTGCCTGTATAAATATATATACATGTGTCTTACGGTAGTGAATTATTACCGGCACACAGATTCCAATACAGGAAAACTCGTTCGACATTGCTTTGGGCTAGAAGTCATAGTAACAACAGTTTTGCAGTTGTCGCCATTTCACATCGGTTTTTTCGTCACCCTTGCCACTATTTCCGATCAAGTACCAAATTATCGTGCCTTGTACCCTTACGGTATTCTAGTGAAATGACCTACTGTTTAGTGTTGGCATGAAGATGAATTATCAAATCCAGCATCGTGACGTAGGTCAGTCTCGTTGATATTCGGACCCCATCCTTTCACGAACTGAATGTAGAAGCATTGTTATCTTTGATCAACTCGTATGACGCATCGAAAACCACGCGGTGGAGCATTAGCCAGTAAGCTTGAAAAAATTATGATGATGGGGGTAACTTTCTGGAAAACCTTTCCGCGGTAAATGTAGCACGAAAAGCGCAGCAATTTTCGGAACTAGGTTACACTGAATTTCATTAGCGCGCAGAATTAATATCCACGTGTACTTTTTACTGCTTATTCTTGAAGGGGGGGGGGCGGTGTCCAGGGACTTCCAAATGAAAGATCGGACCCTACTCGTCGTGGCCTTTCAAGGTGAGATGTTGATCGCTATATGTGTCTTCGGATACTGAATTCGAACCTAGCCTACAAGTTTGCTAAGCGATTCTGGAGATGGAATTATGAGGGTTCTGTCATCGTGCCTCACGCCCCAGGGGGGGGGGGGCTTACAGATGAATCCTGGTGCCTCTTTAGATCACTATCGCCTCGCATGGTGGTAGCGGCTCCGACCAGTCCTTTTCAATTTGCAACTAAAAGCTGCTATGTTGTGAAGAAAGACTTGCGACACTCTGACCAAATTTTCGGACCAAATTTTCCTTCACTAAGGCACCCCCCAGATCTATAGGCGTAATCAAAAATCAATGACTAGGACTAGTGCCCACCTTTTGCACAGCTACTCATCTCCACTCTTATAGAACTACGGCAACTACGATAAAAAGAGGAGATGGACCTCATTTTCGAGTAGATGCCTTCGAAAATTTTGCTTTCTAAAGATTGCGGTGGGGATCAAAGGAAGTGGTTATTAGAGACTGCCAACTTTCGGTCATTAGGCTGGGTACGGTCGCATTCCCTGATCGAGATCCATTACCTTTTGCCTTGATGCTTGATCCTCACATGCGCGTTCGACATTTGCCGGTGGCTATCAAAGAAAAATGAGTGTTTCTGAATGAATTTCAAGCGTTGGAGTGGACATATTCATGTTTGCATGTCTTGATTTAGGTTAGACTGTGGCCGTCATTGCTGTGCCAGTACCCAGCGACATCGCTTTGAAGTGCCACCAATAACAACAGCATACAACATACACAGTGGAATCGTTATTGCTTCTAGCCTGCTGCTTTTGAGCCATACATATTGCTTTCAGCTGAGCAATCTACTTTTTCTTCTGAGGCATTTTTTGTGGAGACTTTACGCCTGTGCTTATTTACGCAAGCGGACTACCATCACGCGATGTTACCAACACATAAGATCTCGACAAAAAGCTCTTCCATCGTGTACGATGGAAAGAAAACGCAGCACGACCATTCGGTACGCCTTCTCAGACTGGTCCAACTCATGAGGCATCCTTCACAAAAAAAATTTCCTTTTGAACGAGATTGCAGAGAAGCCTTCCAGTTGTCAGTTAGGTGGAGCCTAGAGAGCTTGTCCACTTGCTGGTGGTTACGGTAAGCCGCGCCTTCAGAAGGCCGACCTATACATTGCCTACCTCCGAACTGAAGAACACCAGCTTAGAAGGGCTGGTGCAAAGCTGCCCTCTGCCATGGGCAAGCGACATCCTTCAAGACACCGTAGGTGTTAGCTTCCTCGACTACGGCAGAGTGGCCCTACAGAAACTCATAATATGGGAGTCGAAAACTACCTCGAGCTCTGAGGGAGCTTTGAAAGCTTCCACAAAATCATGATATACCCATTTGCAGAAACCCCAGAGGACAGTCTCCACTAATCAGGGGTGAAAACATTCGAAATGGTTTTTTGGTCTTTTTCTAGAACTATTCAATTGATGTGTCCAACTTAATACCTCCGTCTAAATTAGCTATCGATGATATTTTCACTGACTAAGACCACTGCTGCCACCATGATCGACTTCCTCAAAGGTCAGTCGAAGTCTCAGACACCGTTCTGCAAGGGTCAAGCACACGCTTCAAGAAAAAGGGAAAGCTGCAGGTGCACCAAACAGTCGAACCCTTTATGGCTTTGAGAGTCAGTACAATAAAAACCGCTGATGTGGTAGGCGTGACTACGTACTTGAGTTGAAAGTTCAGCGGCTGAGCTTTTCGTGGGATATTTCGAATCAGGACAGTTATAATCATGTCTTTGTCACAGAACATGATGGCAGTTGCCTTGAACTGAATTATCTCACGAGTAACCCACCCTATCAAACCCACGCCCACCTCCGTCATAGGATTAGGGATAGTGCGACATACCATCATATTACCAGCGCTGACTCAAAGGATCAGGCGCTAAATTCGTATAGCAGACGCAAAAAATTGCTCATGACTCCGTTTCCAGAATCGTTGAGGATATTTGGATGCCGGATTTGAAATTAGTGTCCGATAGCGTTTATTGGAACATAAATCTTATCATGAATGGCCGTGGCGAGTTGTGGTCCTTCCACTGCTAGCCGAGTCAGGCAGGGACCTGGACAACATGTGCATGGTGCACGATCAGACGTCGTGATATGGACTGTGTTTAGGAGCCGATGGAGAGTTCCATTATAGTAATGCGGAAGAAGAGAGAGAAACCTAAAATTGTAATGAGAGGGGGGAGAAGGGGAATGTTTCTGCTACTAGAGAGTATGGGGCGGTAGGAATACCAGCTGTCTGCTACCCTCCTATCCCATACTCTCTAACGGCAGTCTGCCTCTCTCCTATCTCCTCAATACTCTCCACCTCAGACGCCGGTAGACGCTGGCAGACGCTGACAAACGCTAGATCGATATCTATACTTTACTAGTCGCTGGCGCTGCCGGACGCTTGCATTCGTAGACGCTATTGTTCGCTGGTTGGTGCTGCCGCAAAGTATAAACGCAGCCCTATGTAGCTACGGGCTTGGCTTCTATTAACATGGGAAAGGATTGTCGCACTCAGTTATTATGGAGTGTGCCTTTAAGTCTGTGACCTCAAAGGATAAATAACGAACCCTTCGGAAGCATTGTTCGTCGAAAATCTTCAGAGAGCACTTGTTAGCAATTTTGACGACAGTAGTTGGATGAAAGCCGTGAATGTAGTTGCAGTTCCGTGATTGTACAAAGATAGCTGAATCAGATTCACATTCGGCAAAAAGGGTGCCCTGATGACGCACGTAGGTCAGCTTGACTCCTAAATGAAGAACAAGTTTTTTAACTCATGAATTGGTTGCGATTTGCTTGGGTGAGACTATT